CAGTAGGAGTTTGTTCATTATCATACATGAAATTAGACAAGGGGATCAAAATGAGCTAAAGAATTGATAATATCATATACCACAGCCCTTTCTTTTAGAACATGTGGATATGTTTAAAGGTTGCCTTTATGTTGGATAAAATCAAAGACAGATCCAATTGATTTTACATAATAGGCTATTTCAAAGTAATGAATTAGCTGAACTAATGCTTTCTCACAAAATAAATAATTCTGAAAGAAAATAGATCTTTATTCCTAAATCCTCCTCCTCCTTTCTCAATTAATTAGGCTTTGTTGGTGAAAGGAAGTTAAGAAATTCAGCATAAGCCTGATTATATCATGAATGTAAAATGAGCAGGGCAAATAATGGGCTCTATACTCTTTCAAACAAGTTAAATAAGTCTATAATAGCCCACCAGTTGTGTAAACACTATTTCACTATACTTGTAAAAGAAATATTGACTTACCTGTTAACTAAAATTACCCTGGCATGCCTTGGCTAAACTTATTAGTAATTCTTGTGGTGTATGTGAATGTTTTTCGTTGTGGACTTCTATCAAAGATTAAAGAAATAGGAAAACATCCGTTTTAGGGAGCCCAGAAAGTAGACACATACTGGACTACACTTTAACAAAATCAGTTTTAAGAACTTGCATACACAACCAGTTTAACTCCACATCATGTACAACGACAAGAATGGGAAGTTATACTCCGTGTATGTATGATATGTCAAAATATATTCTACTGTCATGTATAACTAAAAATAATAAATAAAACAAAAAAGAACTTGCAATCTAAAAGGGCCAAAAAAGAGTAATTTCCATCCCAGCAAGAAATATTCCATTATTCAGTAGCTCATTAACACAAAGATACTTCCCAAAATTATAAATAAGAACATCAAATGCAAACAAATACTAAATGAACTAACTTTACCCTACTAACCTTATTATCACATGTAAGAGTGGGTGGTCCTCTTCTCTGATTTCTCACCAGTATGTATTCTTGTAAGTAACTGGTTGTTGAGAGAAACCCAAAATATATGTGTGTGTATATAGATATATGTATATATATGTATATACATATATGTATACATACATGTGTGTATAGACATATATGTGTGTGTATATAGATATCGATATATACTTCAGAAGGAAAAAGATTCAAAATATACTTGTCTTTACTGTTAACAAAAAAAAAATTCTTGACAAGGCAAAGGGGCACACACCTGTTATCCCAAATAATCAGGAAGCTGAAACAAGAGAATCCAAGTTCCAGGCCAGCCTGGGAGACTTAGCAAGACCCAGTCTCAAAATAAAATAAAAGGGGCTGAGGATGTAGGTTAGTGGCAGAGCACTTGCCCAGCATGCATGTACAAGCCTTGTGTTCCATCCCTAGAAATGAAAACAAACAAACAAAAAATAACCTATTCTCTACTCCAACTGGTTCTACTGCAGTTAAAAAAGACCTCACTTTTTTTCTTTAACAAAAGTATGTGAATTTCTTTCACAATAAAATGACAGTAAATTCAAGGTCCTATCCAGTTTAAAGTCCATATGTGGCTAGACTTCCCAAGGTATTAGGGAAAAGGTACAGGATTTAAAATCAAAAGACTGGTTGGAATTTTGGCTTCATTACTAGCTCCCTAGCAACCATTAGGAAAACAACTTGCCTCTCCCATCCTCCAGTGTGGGGTAAGAATCATATCCATCTCTTCCAAGTGAGAACACGTGACTGCATAAAAGGCTGAGTCAATGCCTTTTCACACAATTTGAAAACATCACCTTGTAAACTAAATGGCATTTTCAACAGAAACAGAGAGACAACTGCTCAAAAACCTTACTGAAACTTTTTTTGTTTTTTGTTTTTTAGTGTTCAAGAACTCTGGTTTACTGTATTTTCATCTTTATTATCTAAGATTAAAAGATTCGCATACAGCCATTGAGGCAATAAAGTCACCATCCGCCACACAATTTTTATTTTCAATCCCACATGATTTTCTATTATCAGGAGGACAAGACCTTGAAGACTCTTGAGGCCTTTCTCAAACTTTCATGTTTTCTGGTTTTTACAGAGTATGTTTGTCCACAAGTGATCATAGCTGAATTCTCGCTGGCTCAAGCAACAAAACAAAATTAACTTGTTCATCCAGTCTCGAGATGATTAAGCAGAAATGACTTTAGATCCAGGTGTTTAAAGAATGACCTTAGGATTTCACTTCTCTCCTTGCTTGTGCTAATGTTTCATTTTCAATGAGCTTTCTCCCTGCAGCAGAAGAGCATCCCCCACGAGCTCCGTGTTTTTGTCCTTTTCATCAAGCAGAAAGAGAAGACTGTCTCACCTCAGGATCTAGGACAACACCTCACACAGGAGTGGATTGTTCTGTTCAGGTCACATTTCTATCCCAGGACAGAAGATGTAGCCACATGATGGACAGCTCTAAGGTTTGGGAGGAAGTTTCCCAAAGAAAAACTGTGTTTTGCTCTTACCAAAAGAAGAGGGGGATATGTTGACTATACAAAAAAGAAAAAAAGTTGGGCTGGGGATGTGGCTCAAGCGGTAGCATGCTCACCTGGCATACGTGCGGCCCGGGTTCGATCCTCAGCACCACATACAAACAAAGATGTTGTGTCCGCTGAAAACTAAAAAAATAAATAAATAAATATTAAAAATTTTCTCTCTCTCTTTAAAAAAAAAAGAAGAAAAAAAGTAACAGATGTTCATTACTCTTGGGATCATCCAGCATATCCGTCTTCCCCATATAATTGAATCAGATATTTCTCAGCTCTACTTGCATTTGTTAACGAGTTTAAATTCCCCCAAAGAAGAGGAGAGGCACTAATAGGTTGAAAATCTGCTCTAGGCTAAGTTCCAGATATGGAACTACCTAGGTAAATGATATCCCCTTTACAGGGAAGGTAACTGAGACTTACCTAGGCTCATTTTGTGTCTGTGATCAATCAACCTGAAACTGGAAGAACCTAGATTCAAATACAGTTCTGCCTGACTCATCCCCCAATCAAAGTGCTATGCTCCTTTTAACAGCCTTGGTGTCAAAGAAAGTGCCCTTTCGTGCTCTTAAATGGATCGTGAGTGAACACAACCAAATCTGGATTAGTCAACAAATATTTGTTAAGAACTCATTGTTATGAGCTCATAGTTTGAGTCTTGCAGGTAAAGAAGACACAAATGGCCTAGTCCCTTCCTCCAAAGTGGTCACCATAAAGTTGACAAAACAAACCTACTATGTATCCAGGAAAACTCTAGGTCTAAATCTTGTGGTATTTATAACATACCTTCAATGAGACACTCACCCTTGGGATTACTGTCCAGAGTCAGTCATCCTTTTAGATTGCAAGTTTCATGAAGAGGGACATTACAGCATCCCAGTCATATTTCCACAAATATCTGTAGGAGGTTTCACAGAAATGATGTCTTGAGTTCCATTTATGAAACAAATAATGTGGAGTTAGATTTTTCTTTTTTTATGGAAGGACAGGCAATTAGTAGACATCCTATAAATGCAAAACGAACAGCCGAGAGAAGCAAAAATAATGTGAAAATAAGCAAAGAGTGGGAGTCAATGCAGTGTACCTGGGGCAAGAGAGGGAACAGGACAGAATTGAGCACAATTCTGATTATCCAGAAGCCAGGGGTAACTCACAGTTTTCAATGGCACTGTCAAGTTTTACCAAATTCTGGGCCACAGTTACTTTATTTGCAAAATGAGGAGAAAGGAGAAAGTGGAGTCTATAATTATCTCCCCAATGTCTCTCTTCTTATATCACAGAGAATCACAAACTTGCTGATAAATGGACTTCCTCAAGAAAAGAGCATGTTCAGAATACAGATTTAGGTCAAGGAATCTATGTATTTCTGAAGTTTCACGGGTGAAGGAATAGACAGGATTGCAGGATAAGTATACTACACACACACACACATACACACACACACACAAAGAATAACCTTCCCAACTGTAAAATTCAGACAGAACTTTATATGGAAATTCAGGTGGTCAGCCTAAGTAGAAGATTAAGAGGGACCTTGAAATTCAAAAGAGTTCCCTGCCTTCAGGAAGCAATGAGGCATTGTGCCTGGGAGTGAAAATTGTACATTTTTGTGAGTTAGCTTGGCAGGCTTGGACTGACACCTCTTTGAGCAGCTCACTCGGGTGTGAAGAGGGCAACTTTTACCTCACTGAGGTCTTCTCTCCTAGAAAGCCCTGAATTCTTTTCCTCCTGTCTCCTGCAGATTCACTGTAGGACACTTTTTAATAAGAAACGTGCGTTTTTCACTAGCGCTCCGCAGAGGTGCTGGGAGCCCAGTGCTACTCATCTAGGTGGGATTGCGCCTAGTTCAAGAGAACCCTGAGACATTTAGGGATGAAAAGTTCCCGGAACAAAAGAAAACAGCCATCCTACATCATTTTACTAACTTTGGATTCTAAACACTTTTTTAAAAGTCACTTCGACTTCCTCACCCCGGATGAGTTAGGAGAGTAGCACGGGAGTGCTCGCTCTCCACTGTATTTATTTAATGATTAGTCCAGCGCTTTGGTTTTAGGGCAAAAGCGAGCCAGACAGTGCTCTGACGTAAGGACTAAAAAGGCCACCCATCGTTTGCCGAGAGCTCTTGCTTTCTTACCCCGGTAACTATTTTTCTAGATTAGAGTTTAGTCTTTTTTAAAGTTCTCCATGCCTCTTTTCCATTATTTGAAGCGGGCTGGAGGAAACGTGCCTTATCCTTCCTACCCTGGGTCTCTATGTCGCTCTGAATCAGGTCCCTCTCAGGTCTCGAAACTGAGTTTCCATAACGCAAAAAGGGGTGAGGGTGGGGATCCCCTGCCTGGCGCGTGGCGCAGAGCGCTGGAATCCTCCCAGCGGAGGCGCAGTCACAGCGCGAACTCGCCAGCACCTCGCGCCGCCTGCTGCCGCCCAGCCAGGTCTCGGGAAAAGAGGGAGGGGACGAGCGGAGGAAAAGTGGGGCCGGGCTGGGGGTGTCTGGAAAGCTGGGCTGCGCTGACGTCACTGGGCGCGCAATTCGGGATCCAGCGCTTTAAAAAACGAGCGTGCGAGCGGAGATGCTGCTGCACACAGCTCAGACCGCCTGCAGCAGCAACGCGCACCGCTACTGCCGCGACTGCATCAAGGGCTGCTCCAGGGGCCAGCGTGGCTGCAACGTGCTCCGCGATCCCCGCGGAACTTCTCCTCTGCGCTCCCGGCGGGGGGCAGGAGCGCGGCGCCCAGTGTTACAGACGCCCGCAGAGCTTCAGAAGCCGGAGGAGCGCCGCCTGGCGCGCCACAGTCCACAACAGTCCCGGCGTTGCCCTCGGCTGGCGTCTGGCTCGCGGATCCCTGCCTTGGGCACCATGGACACCTCCCGCGTCGGCGTGCTCCTGTCCTTGCCTGTGCTGCTGCAGCTAGCGGCTGGAGGCGGCTCGCCCAAGCCCGGTGCGCTACCGCGGGGCTGTCCCACACACTGTCACTGCGAGCCCGACGGCAGAATGTTGCTCAGGGTGGACTGCTCGGACCTGGGACTCTCGGAGCTGCCCTCCAACATCAGCGTCTTCACCTCCTACCTGTAAGTGCGCCCCCACCTCACTCCCAGAAGGGGGCTAGAAATGGGAGGGAGCTACTCTGAGTCAAGGCTGGGAGACGTAGCGCCCTCCTGCTTTGGAGGGGGCGGGCGACTTTGCCAAGGGCATCCTGGCTAGACCAGTTTCGGCTCCCCGGAGAAATGCACGTGTTTTAGAGGTGTGTAACGAAATGGATTCACTGCGACCCAGGGAAAGAGCTGGTGCGCCGCAGCTTTGCAGTCCAGAACTAGGCACGTCGCAGGGCACATTCCTCCGAATGTACAGGCATTTGTGTGCATAGTGAGCACAAGTGTACAGGCATTTTTGTGCAGAATGGGCTTTTGTGCCCAGGAGGCTTAAACCCAAGGGCAGGATGCCCGACTGGTCCCTACCCCAATCCCCCCGTTTTCATCCAGTTGCTTTCCATGAAGAGATGGGCTATAAAGTGTCCCACAGGAGAAACCTAACATGCCCAGCTCTAAGGGACTTGCTCTGCATCCTTAGCACTGTAGCGCGACATAACCTTTTTTTTTTTTTAACGGAGTGATTAAAATGTGGCAACCACAAACCCCGATTAGAGCTGCCAGAACGTTATCTTTACCTTTGGCTGCCCGAGCCGCTCTTTGAAGTACCGATGGCCGCAGTGTAATCTTTAACCATCTCCTCCCCCGGGGGAGGAAAGGGAAGTGGGCTGAAGGCGGCCAGGCGAGTAAACAGCGGCGCCGACTTCCAAGGGGGTTCCCGAAACTCTGTCTTCCTTGGGGGGAACCTCCCACCCTTTCTTTTCCTAATACCACGTCCAAAGCCCTGACCACGGGAATGAGGCTGTGGCTCATTTTATAATTCTGTCTCTGAGAAGCCCAGACTGGAGAGTAACAGGTGGTTGACTGGATGAGGTGGCTCAGAAAGGAACTCTGTTCTCGGGGACCAAGGTGACTACTCCCCCCAACTTCCTGTCAACCATCTGGAGTTCTGTTCCTTGGGGCCAAGAGACCAGGGTCGAGGCCACCCTGGGAAAAAGCTCTCCTGGCCACGAGGTGAAACATTTAGATTTTAATTCAAGACCTTGCAGTGAGCCCATCCCATACTCGTTTAATCTGTTTCGGCTTCTCTGATGTACCTTGGCACGAGCGAGTTGGGATGTTTGTGAACTCGGTTTTTCCTCTGTTTAGTTGCTTTGTGGAGGAAAGAAACAGAGGCTTACGCAATGTTTTCTGCCAGGTAGTGAGTTTTTCTTTCTCTGGAACAGGATAAGGAAGAGAAGAAAAAGGGAAAAAAATATTGCATTTAAAGAAAGGCTAAATCCTGATAAATTTTAGTATTGGTAGGTGAGAGTGGCCTCCTCCACTACCATAAAAAACTGTTTGGGTCGCTTTTCTTTATTCAAGCAGGATATAAAATATTTTCCCCACCAGGTTTTCCCTTCAATAGCATGTGGTAGTGATATTTTTCGAGGGAGTGAAATCTGTTTTCAAAAATGATCATCCTCTCAGAATTCACATTTCCTTCAGAACAGCTGTCCCTATTAGGAAACAGAATATACATCCCCAAACTTTCTGGTTTAACTGCTAATGTCAGTGACTCAAAGATAATGTGTTCTCCGGCATAATGAATTTCTAAGGCAAGTTTGGCAATTTTACTTAAGAGCCTACACTATTCTTTCCCACCGCCCTGAAGAAATTCACTATATACAAGGATGTACAACCCCATGCTCTCAGCCCCAACACTTACTTACTATTTAAATTATACGTTAATTATAAAATATATTTAAGAATGTAGCAAAAAATATGCATAATGTTGGGGCATTTTTTTCCTCCTACTTTCAAGAAGAACATTTGTTAAGCTTCTGTTACTAAAAGCCTAAAATTATGCTTTAAACTATTTCCCACCATACCTCAAATCCAAAAGCATCTTCCCTGTGCTCAGGAGAACTTACTGCTACCTACTGCCACTGTTCACTACCTATCATTAATAGATAACCCCTCGAAGTTAAGATACAATTAGGAAGTGAATTTTCACATTATTCTTATGCTATTTGATGCCAGCTTGTATCCTAGTCTAAGAGGAAATTTTCTCCGTGCCCTATAAAATGTTAAACTCAGACTGTCTGTGTAAAGTTAGACAGGGAATGTTAACCATTTGCTTCTGGTCGCTGAAATTTCAGGAATTGTGTGTGCTGAATGTAGATATCAATACTAAAGTGAAGAACTGGCCAGACACTCCTTAATGTGTGATGTCATGACTTGGTCTCCCTATAGAGTGCAGAGTGCCAGGGACCATGGGGTGTTCTTTTGTCATGGATTGAGAGTTGTGGGATTACAATCACAGAAGTTCTGTGCAGACATTAAGGGTAGATGATGCCCTCTTTTGGTTACACCTAGTATTATCTGACCATTTCTGCCTTCACTTGGTTAGTCATAATCTAAAAGAGTAAATAAGTAGGAGTTTTATTGATTTTCTTATTTTAAGAAATAACTTCATTTGCTCTTGAAAGGGGACATTAAGTTATGTTCCCACTCCACTGGGGCCAAAAGCTTTGATGGGAAAATTTAAGTAAGTAAAGACTAATGTGGTTAAGAGGCCAGAACTACTGTTATTGTTTGTAGTAGGTTATCACCATTTATTTAGTCAAAATATTATCTCCTAATCCCCCTAAAGAAAGAACAAGCATTTTATTTCCTTCCAACAGATTGACATGGTAAGTTCCAGCTGACCACTTTTGGAAAATAGATTTGCTGCAATCTAATAGTTGTCTAGTGAAACCAGCAGGTAAAGAAAGTTCTCTAAATCTATTCATAGAAGGCAAGAACTGTTTGTGCATCATTTTATAATCTTTCTTCTGAGAAAAGCTAAATCTTAAGCCAATCCAAACATTAATATTAGCTCTCTTTTCTTACCAAACTCCATCCCCCAGTAGATCTGTAACCAGACCATTAACTGTAATGGAAACTCCTAGAAGAATCTCAATCCTAGTCTCTTCTCTCCCCATCCCATGTCTTTTCCCTCAACTTCTTCTCCTACTATCCACCCCAATTGGTTATAGGCTCTCATTTTACTAACAGAAGCCAGTGAAGTTCACTCTGCAGAAAATAAGGACCCCACCAAGGCTAAAACATAAAAAGAGACAATAATTGTTTACAATGCTTAATATATCTCAATACACCAAGAATGATCAGTCAGAAACAAAGTAGGTCTAATCCTATTATAGATAAGTTGTTTTAGTCATTCAAATACAAAGGATTTTGCTCCTAGGGTCTTAAAAAGTAAAATCTCCTATGTTACTTTGATGTGTCTTTCATCTAGTTAGCGTGGCATCAAGGTAGAAAACTAAATTTCAGTGAACAGCCTAATATAGTAAATAGACTTTTCTTTATTGGTCTAGAATGCAGATTTTCCTTTTAAACAGAAACCAAGTTTTTCTTTGCTGTTGCTGAATGGCTAAAACATTTTATCCATAAGCAAAGTTATGTTATATGAACCAAAGAAACCAAGAGAGATTTTAAAATTTTACATAACTTGGTTACTTTCCCCTATGTCATTTTGAAACAAAATTTGATTTTATACATAATTAGTAAAATTGATGTTAATAAGAACTGATCAAAAACCTCAATTAGTTAAATTAAGAATGGCCCTGGTATCATATATATGTTTTAAGCATTAAAGATGCAGTTTCAAAATTCAAAAATATTTTAGAGTCTTATTTGAAAATAATGTAATATATTTCTTGTTTCCTTCTAGCTGAGAAAAGTACTTTAAATAAAAGACTATGCTCATACTTTAAATAAAAGACAAAGTTCGTACTTTATAAATGGTTATAAAAGGATTTAGATCAATTGCAAAATTCATAGAGGTTACAACATTCTTTTAAACTTTGTCTAAAATACAATGATATCAAGAATTTTCTCCATTTTAATAAAGTTCATTCTTTTTCTCTAGGATTCCTGGTGGGTTTTCCCATAGACTTTTTTGTTATGGGGCAATTATTGAAACTAATTAATTAAATCTGAGTAATTTTTTTAATAGTGAATTGTGATTCAAACAATTTTGTAGCATATTGAACATACTCAATATGTTCAATATGTGCATGACAGAGTTCATGTGACAAGAAAGAATTTTTACATAATAAATGTGACCTTTAGTTTTTTTCTTCTTTCTTTCCTCTTCATTTTTCAAAGCAAAGACATTCTGATGAAGCAACAAAAGGTAACAATCATAAATGAGTAAGAAGATTGAATAAGAAATAACCTTTGTGGTTAAATAGAATCGTTTTGATAGTGAGACCATTCACACTTGGATGTGTTTAAAGAAGTTCAGAAACATAAAATCTGCCTATGATTTTAGTTTTTATCTCAACTATTTGATCACTTTTAAATTCCAAAACATATAGCTGTCAAAAGCAGACAAATAACGTCAGAGCAAATGATTAACCCAATACAGCTATCATGAAATTAAAGATATTACAGAATATTTATGGTATTATAACTGATATATAATTTTTACTTACCTTATCAAAGTGTTTTTATATTTCTTCTATCAAATTCATCATTTAATTACTTTAACCATAAATTTAAGTATGGTTTCCAATTAAACTAAATTATATGCCATAAGATATAACTGAAAAACAATAGAGAGTTTTGTATTGCACAATATTATATTTTTTGTTATATTTATATAAATTTAGAATACAGCTAAATGATACACTTCCATGTGAACAACCCTCATGTGGATTTTTTGGTAAATTAAGAAATCAAATTCCTTCCAGTAAGATTCAACCTCCTCTCTCCTACCACAATGTTTACCTTTATGGCATCCCATTTTAGTAGTAGGGAGATAAATCAAACTGGCAACAAAGCCAGACTGATATATTTTTTACCAAATAAAATCAGCTGATTATCTTGTCTTGTTTCTCTGTTTGATGCATTTAGTAGAACTTCACATGTTAAATCTGTCCAAGGGTTCTAATCCACTGTAACTATTTTATTCTCAGTTCTGTCAGCCTTAATCC